AACAAAAAGAAAAAGATGGTTATCTCAGAATTGTTTGTATTTTGATATGATATTGAAATGTTTGTTTTTATTATCGACATACTGGGTGAGCATTCAGTTAGTCTCTGGGTGGGGTGAGCATTCAGTTAGTCTCTGGGTGGGGTGAGCATTCAGTTAGTCTCTGGGTGGGGTGAGCATTCAGTTAGTCTCTGGGTGGGGCGGGGTTAGAAAACAGTGCCAACATACCTAGAGTTATATTTCCACGGCCATGTATTGCATTTTATTAGCACAATGATGGTATACCCGAAAACACTGGTAACGCTAATTCATACATTCATATAATTCTCTACGTGCCACCTGACTACAGCAAGTGATATTGCCATGGTAACCTTGCTTAGATTGTTCTGCACAAGGTGAATACAATAGACACTGCTATGTAGGGATTTGTTTACGGCGCATGTCAGGTGGATTTTACCGCCGGGTAATTATTTCAAGTAGTACAATGAAGACGTGTTGTATTACCGACTGGATTGTACTTCATTTGTATGGTTTTTATTCCGGACATGACTCGTCTGAGATACGATTTCCACCTCTTGTCAATTAGATATCCACCCTAGCAACCGGGCTTAGTAACGATTATACTGTATTAAATTGATATATTTATACACACGTGATTATTAATTAATTAAAATGATTTGCATACCACTTGGAATATCAACGGATGAAAGGAATCTATTACACCCTTAAACGACCAAACCAAAACCATAACATTGAACGTCATTCAAATTACAACACTTTGTGACCAATCATCACCTGCGTCTGAGTTCATTCCTCGACTAATATAACTTATCTCATGAATATTCATGTATACCGAGGTGATGACTTCACAAACTCAAACCATCAGTATACACTTCGTGAGCACTGTTATACGGTGTAGGTTTACTGTGGTTATTACGTGACGTGCGGCCATGATTTAACTACAGTGGTGTTCATATTATTCAAGGCAAAGTGTGCGGCCAGCGAATTCGTTTGTCGAAAGTCACGGGTGGGAAACCGTTAGGGATACTTTAGGCAGGACACATCTCGTGGACCAGGTCTTCACAGCACGTGGAAACGCGGCACATCGTATTTTGGTTTGTAGATCGCCGCTGTCTGTAAAGCACTCTTGTCACAATACATGTAAGCAACGTAAAGCGGAGTAATGCCTCCTGTCCCACAAATGATCCCGTTTGACCAAGACATGGTCCCATCGCGGACTACCTATCAAGATATGTTCGGGAAAAGGGCACTGCTACAACGTATAGGTATTCGACCGTCATCGGTACGAAGGCGTAATAATCCCCACCCCGCACCGGTATGTTCATAATATAATTGTTTTTTATACTATTGTTGATTGATTGATTCATTCATATGACTTGACTATTTTTCATGATGTAATGATACGTCCGTATATATATATATATATATCAATTACGTTACCATAGCAATGAAGCCGAGTTGGTTGAGTTACGTTCTATTGCATGGCCATATTCTTCACACACTAACGAAACACTCCTATCCCACCGACTATGGTACAATCTGACAATTAACCGTATGCAAAAGTTACATATAAGTTCAGATAGTCTGAAACAAATGAAATGCAAATAATAGCAAAAAGTCGGCTACTAGTAATCTACGATCGTCACGAAGAGCGTAAAAGTTGTTTTCCACTAAGGGTTATGGTTAGATCTCTGTTTAATACCTGGCGTGTACATCGTAGCTATTGCTGTTACAAAACGCGTCTTATTAACGAGTTTGTTCCAATCGTATGAATGCTATGTTGTCATTTAGTTATTGTGGAGTTTGTAATGTGTATCCTCTCGAGTTCTTTAAAACTAGTAATTTGTTAGTTTTGCTTTGTAATCGAAATACTTTAACAATCCATTCAGCCTCGGGCATTGGGCGAGCGCAGACAATTTATATTATGTCCAAACATTAATTATGTTATTTACTGTAAACACATTGGTATCAGACATCCGTCACCATGGTAATTGTTATTTATGCCATGCTTTGATATTTTATGGAAGTTATCTTTCTTGTTGCCATGGTTACAACGCAATGCATTCGTTCCCACAGCACAGTCGTTTCCCGTAGATTGTGACGACACTGATGTTGATGTTTCCATAGTAACGAAATTACTTTTTTGCGGAAGCCCATCGATCATTCGCGAGGAAATTCATTGGTAAACAATAGCCCCGTCTAGAGCTAGTCGTAAAAAGTCAATCATTGGCCTGTATATCATAAACGAGCAACACTGCAGAACTGCATTTTTGTTTGGTGTTTTTCTATTGACAGTTTTTGTTATTAACTTTAAGATTCGGTTTATACGCTTTCTGTTCTGCGACGGAAACGATTTTATTGCCTTTTCGTTGCAACTATATATAACGTTTTCAAAGCCAAACATTTCATTACGTCAGTTTGGAGATTAATTAAGTACATGTGCCTGCATATACATTGTAGGTTCGTTCATTGGCACAGGCATTTTTATCTTATCATATATGCCTAACCCGTCTCTCTCTCGCTCCGTAATCACTTGAGTGATGTATTTTGTTTGGTCACTTATAAAACATCAGCAATGAAGAGCCTCTCCAGAAATGTTGATATTATCTCAATCAATCTTTACTAACTCCTTCAGTATTCTAAACATATTTACAGAAATTAATTAATTGTATTTGTTTGCAATTGTACTGTGAGGTTTATAAACCTTAAAGTTAGTTCGTGATTCTTAGACACATACTTGGGTGATGGTTTGGTTATGGAATTTGCATTTCTCGAGTAGATGTTAGCACCTAAATCTATATACACATATGCTAGTAGACGCTCGTAATTTAAACGTCGTCCGGGAAATCCAGGACTATCTTAATAATTTTTAAAATTAATGTCACCTTCCATTAGGCGTTACAGTCGCTCCTGAGACTTTCCTCATTCGAGCACGATTATATTGTCCCTGTTTCAAGCGTGTGACCATTAAATATTTCAATATCCGCAAAACACATTTTGAAACCATGGTTACAGTTATACAACTACTCTATTGATCACTAATTGCTTTGAATATCAATAAACATATTGTTTTATTGAATATCATTAATTGAGTTTTGAATAAACTTAAATGAAAAATATAGTATCATAATTTAGTGATTGACTTCCGCTCCATTTTCATTCCGAGTATTAATAATAATGTATAAGTCATAATCACTGACTCATACACCCTCTGTAGCGGCAGCATTGGTGCGTAGTTCAACACGACTGATGTGTGGGGTGTGGGTTCAAGTAGAGTCACAACCGCGTTAATCGCTAAGACTTAGTGTGAATGTCTGATATATCCGAAACAACTTTTTCTTTATATATATATATAAATATTTATATTCTTTATTTAACTACGTCCGCAAAGAATAATGTACATGAAACTGAACGAATGGGAATCTTAGACTTGTTTAAAACACTTCATATACAAATGATGGTGTGAACTCCCTTGAAGAATGGTATCCAGTAGTCATGGAAACGTTTTAATATATAAGTATACCCATGTGTCCCATGGATATGATCGTAACTGTGTCATGATAGTGACCGTAACCATGGCCAACTATGCTCTATATCAACTATGGTAATTCTATTATCGTCTCGTGTTTGCGTGGTGTGTGGTCGGTATGTAACCGTTCGGTTGTAGCCCCCTCATCGTTGACACGTGAATGTCGACTGTGGGGCGTGAATAATTTGAACATGCACCATGGCTCCTTCGATTATGCAGTCTATACATCAATTTCGACATTATTTTTAAACAATCTGGAATTAATATTAAACCATTCAGTATTACTACTGTAGTAATGTGAGTACGAGTCATATCACAGTTATGACGTCACGGTGCTTGGTAAATGTGGCATTCATGAGAAATCAATATAGAAACCTAATTGTGTGGTAATTTGTCATATTATTATTTGATCGGTAATCGGCCTTCATTGATTAATTTCATATTGATTGACTAGTAGTGTATTATTTCCCGTTGAAATATTATTATTCCGAGAATACATTTTATTAATATTATGATATTCATAATCGGGATCGTGTCATTGTTATGAAACGCGAACGCAGAGAGTACTTCAGCTGTCTTCATGGTACAAAGTTCGTTGTAATCACTGTGTTTGGCAAGTACTCATTCAACAACCTGTTCTGACTTTACCCAATTAGTAATGCAGCCGCTAAATTTTATTTATATGTTTTGAACACTTTAAAGCCCCGCAGACAACATAACTGGACTGTTGTTATAGGTTTTAACAACAATACGGTTAGCGAGCAATGAAAAGCCCACCGAAGGTATGAAATACAACAATAGGTCTGAGCAAACACTTAATCAACACAGCCTTATCGCACGGGTCGAACTCTAGTGTGGTTACCAACCAGCTGACCTCGGTCCTATACATAGTTACCGGGCTGTGCTACCAATATATTCCGGGAGAGACGACTGATTTTTGACTAGTTGACGGTAAAGTTTATTGCCATGTCGTCGTATTACAGAAGTCCAAGTCCAACAACCAGTGTAAGTAGCGATACTGAATCGTTGCGGGGAACGCAGTTTGATTCAAGTACATGTACCTCTGTCGTGGTAAACTAGGCATGTAACAATGGTGTTTTATTAATGGCCGTTCTGTTTGGCTTCGATCTGTGTTACACGCATCGTGTGGGATACAACACAGACAGATTTCAGAGCGACACACCGATTACACGACATTTAACAGACCAGCCACGCTTCTGAATAATGTGTTTACAACTCTGAAAAATTAGTCGAGTGATTGTGTGAGTGTTGGGTAGGGTTTCACTCTGAGTATTTACAATGGAAACTGAATGACGTGATCAAAGTTACAGGGTAGTTACATACTAAGTTCTTGTCACAACTCCAACACAAGTAGAGGGTAATATGTGCAAGTAGCAGTATAGCACTCATCGGAGGAGACACTATGCCTGTGGTGGTGAGTACCCCCTCGGACGCCGTGCCAAACTGTTCTTCCGATTGTCTTTTTATTTACGATAATTGTGTCTGTTTTGTTGTTTATTGGCTGGGAACCGGAGAATGGGGTTAAGATACGCAATTAACGAAATGTTACAATGTATGGGTATCTGTACACGTGGTTCTTATTGATTGGCTCATATCATGAAATAATGTCGCATTTTCTCTTGCTGAATTACCAATCTTCACCGTAATCGCCGTACACTGTGCCATCGCCGGCACGCTTTGTAATCGCCGTACACTGTGTCATCGCCGGTAGGCTTTGTAATCGCCGTACACTGTGCCATCGCCGGCACGCTTTGTAATCGCCGCACACTGTGCCATCGCCGGTACGCTTTGTAATCGCCGTACGCCGTGCTGTCATCGACACGGTTCGTACTCGACACACACCATGTTGTCACCGGCACACTTCGTAATGGCCATACGCAGTGATGTCTCCGACACCATTCTGGGCACGTCTAAACCATCCTGGGTATACCTAATTTCAAGATGGTGGAAATTTTGTTGTTGAACAAAGGTTTAAAACATGACTATACGCCCCTTAAATGCATGTTATTGAAAAACACGACAGGTACATTCATAGCTTTTCTCCAATGCTGGTACTTTCTATAGCTTCATCGGACATAGTTGATAATCGACAACTGAAGAATCATTCTTTGGTAGTAGTGGGAATGTTAGTTGTCCAGTAAAACTTTTTCAATGAATAGTGTTGGCATGGTTACAGAAAATTCCAAATAAATGTAAATATCAACAAATTATCTAAATAATTTATACGAATTCTGTTGAATAACTGATACAACTGACCGATATAATTGGACGTCAGTGTGCTAAACGAATTTAGATTAAAGAATGAATACATATGCCTGAGCCAGCTTTACGAAATTAAAATGTACTTATATTGAGTTGCAAGACATAGTGAAACTTATTAATAAATTAACCAAGAGTTGTTGGAATTGAACGTTACAGGACTTTCTGGAGCCGAAACACAGAGTGGATAAAGATGTGCGATTGCAGGAGCGCATCCAGGTCGCCGTAAAAGACTACCTAGATAGACTACGGGAAAGAGAAAATCCCAAAATACCACACGCTTTCGACCGAGAACAGAAACCCAAATATCGAGGTAAGTCATAACAACGGTGTAATTATCGTTTACACCTCATGTACATGTACGCTGGCATAGAAAATGTTAGCTTACGTTGCCATAGTAACAAGTGCTTAACTCCGTATATGTCCCATGAATTACGTTAATTTCAGAATGTGTTGTTATGAGACGTCACGACACAACAAGTCCACCAAAGTTTTGTCAGTCACGCCCGCCGACACTGTTAATGACATTGATTGTAATTCCTGTCTACCCGTTACCCTGACGCATGAATCCTTCTAAATTCAATAGCCTCCTTTTTAACATAAATTTTGCCATAAAAATCCACTGAGTACCAGAGAGACGACACATCGTTGCCCTGGTAACACAGGTTAAGCCCCTTATTCTGCCAGGTCGGACATACAGACATATGAACTAAAGTTAGCATCACACCCATCACATAGATAAGAGCTGTGACTGCACATATCTAATAATCTATTCCAGTAACCATGGTTACAGCTTTTACATAGTCTTCGTTAAAATAACATAAAAGTGATTTAGAAAATGATTGGTAATTTAAAGCTAATTCGCGTATCAGGAATTGATAACACGATAACACGATAAAAACTAAATGACACAGCAAGTTTGACTGTAAAACGCTCCCCAAGTTGTGTAACGTTTAACCGTCGCCAGATGTATGCCCACTGAGTTGGAAATATACAATAGCCGCCATATTCCATCAGTGTGTTGATACTACTAACAATAAAACAAACGTCATATAGTGCTTTATGCGTTTGTTAAACTAGAGAGGTACAATAACCTGATTCCTGTTGTTTGTACGGGAATGTTTTGTTGGTCTGAAATTACTGTTCAACCAATTATGCGTCAATAAAACGGAAACCATCGCTTCATGTTGTTACTTTTCTTCGGAGGGTAAAGAACAAAGTTCAGGAATTCCGGTAACCATAGAAATATCCGAAACTCATACTTCGTGAATGACCTTATTGTTTACATTTGACTGGATTTCTACAATTGCCCCGAGAACAATAAATCAGAAATATACACACTTTCGAGTTTGGACGAAACCGTGAAAGTTGAATTTATTGCGATGTTAACGCCTTTCACCTAGCACGAGGTGAATAGTTAAATGAACTGGCAAGTAATAACCTGTGTGCGACCTTCTAATACCCATGGGGAGCTTCCTGAAAAGACTGAAACATAACGGAGGAGTAATATAGCCATGAATAGTCTTCGCATTGTTACTAAATCGTAGCCGTAGACACAGGTTTGACAATAACTGAATAAACAAACAGTTATTTCCCATGAATTATGCCGTGCTTTATTTCATGATGTTTCTCTATGTCGGTAATAGAAGAAGTGAAGATGTGCTTACATGTCGTCCGAACAGCACAGATTCGCGAGCTCGACGTAAACATACTTCTAATAGAGGTGATGCAATGATCGAATAAAAGAACCTTCGCTGGTGAAGATGCCATTAGTCAGACTAGGCAGTGGTACTTCATTGTACACAACTCAGTGCCACCCGCACATTAACGTTTCAGTTCTAGAAGAGAAAAAAAAAGGTTAAAACATTATTTAAAAAGTTGAATGGCACGTGTACATGCTTTTTCTCTTTCTGATCTGTCTTTGAGTGATTCAAAACGACGAATATTTAGCTACGATCGTCTTTGTTTATGAGTTCATAAAATGCACTGATCACGCGATATAGTGACCTGGCAGTAGTTAGGGTGAATATTAAATCAACAGCAGCACCCATTTATTCATCCATGATTCATTCAAGTTATAAGTGCTGACATAATTGCGACTACGTGTCAATATTTGGCATGGTGTGTTTGTTTTTCTGCGTTACAGTTGCGTGACTAATCTAGATCCTGATGCGTGGGAGGTTTCACACGGGGGGGGGGGGGGTCTGATACTAATGTGTCTGTCAAACTGTAAAAATGAACTTCAGATAAAGATGAATGCGACGTTGACGATGACATTGACGACGACGTTGACATTGACAGTGACGTTGACGACGACTTTGTAATACAGTCACAGTCACTGATTCCGGCGTTGAGTAAACAAGAAAATGCGACGGCGACACCACAAGGTTTGCCACCGCTGGATTCAATGAATGTTAATTGTAATGGAATAGACCGCGTTCACGATTTAGTGAATAAATGAATAAACTTGAAATTGTAGGACAATAAAATGTGGTACGTGCTTGCCGTGTGAATCTGGTTGCTATGCACGCTCGTGCCTAGTGACAGCACGGTAAATAGTCGGTGCCATACAATACATTAGAAACACGCACGCAATACCTCCTACCGCTGTGACCCTACCAACCATTTGCACTTCATTTTCACTATAATTATGTGTTGTACATTACATAATTTATCACCATAATGCATGTTCGTCATATATTGACCTGTGTAGTTGGGGGGTAATAAGGGTCATAGGTCATGTATCTTGCGTAATTGTAACGTTGTATACCCATCTCGGGGTTACAGACTCAGTTTGTCTTCAACAACAACTTCTATCCTTAGTTTTCAAAGTATACAGTTCTCAAAACAGTTTAGAATTATTCATTTATTTGCATCAACAATTGTTATGCAATAAACACATTTTGTTTTGGGTGTATAATTTTTCTGCGAAATTAAAAAAATGAGATATTTTGCAACGTCCAAATATCAGATCATTCCCTCTACAACAGGTAACCAAAACAGTGTATATTATTATATTACATTTGAATTGTTTTTGTCAGAAATGGTGTGCCCCGTGGGGTCCCTGCTAAAAGAATCCATTCATATTAGAACAATTGTGAAATGTATATTGAATTATTTCACCATACTATTCAATAACGATTCAATATGGAATCTCGTGGCACGGACCTGAGTTGACAGAGTCTGACTACAATTATATCATTGTTACTGTATTTTTTCGTTTAATATGATTGTTTTTCTTGCTTCATTCAAACTGTGTAATACATGTGTGTGGCTGCAGTTAAAGACAAGAAAGTGCTGTTTAGTTTCGTCAAACCATCTAGTGGGCAATGCATGAAGAAAGCCCGAGAAGCGGATCGTAAGCAAATGCAGCGTGAAAGTAAGACTATGTTGCATGGATACTGCTGCATTTCTACACTCCGCTTCAACAATATAATAGCTACCGCACCAATTATCGCATGAAAACTGCTGCATTATTTTTTCTACACTCCGCTTCAACTAAAGCTCAACACTAATCATCATACTAACCTCCTCAAATTTTCACATTTTGTTGAAATAACCAAAGCACCCTCTGATCCAATCATTAACGCACTCACCCCGAATATTCACTCATCACAAAACGGGCCTTTTATACAACGATTGTGTCGTTTTTTTGACAGAAACACCAACTAACTTGAATTCTGTAAAAAGGGGGACGAAAGAAAATAGTCACGCGTAAACAAATTATATCAATAACTGTGTTCAATAAAAATATTGTAATCGGTAGTAGTAACTACGAAGTGGATGGCAACGGAGTGAACACATCAATTTGGCGGATTTGTCTCTGGGTAAATTAAACTTAGATTATCTGAAGCTGCAATTATTCTCTATATCTGTTTTCGTTATTTGTGAAATTATCATCCAGTCAAACCAATCATGTGTGTGTATGACCAACAGGTGGAACTTATCATGACTGCCTGCGTTGGCGACCAATCTCTGAGCACACATTGAATTGATTGTTTTGTTGGTTGGTGATAGTTGCTTAGAGAATTAAAGCTTGCGTTATTTTGGCTGCCCATATTATGCTAATAATACGCCCAATATCATTTGACTATTGTGTTTCTGCAACGAATTACTACAAGTAATAAAAGCTCGGCGGAGTTTCATTTCTGTTGGCTTCAAAGTTGACCAGCCATGCAAATATAATCCTAGTCATTTTTCAATAAATACATTTCCAATAAAGTAAAGTAGTTTTACCGAACGACAACATGATTGGCGTGTATACATAGGCGCACGGACACCTTTGACGCAATTTAAGTATTTTTCAATGATTTCAATAAAAACGACAAACCTTCAAATTACTATACTGTATTTTTTCCATATGGGCTAATTTCCATTTACTGATATTGGTTCTAATGTAGTGCACATGTAATACGGATACCACAATCCATTCAACACTGATAACTCTAATTTAGCTTTATTTACAGTATGTTACAGTTGCATTTTGCTACAATGCAGCACGATTACAATAAATGAATCTGTATAACAAATATCACTTGAAACGTCAGGGTTACTTGGGTACCCGTGATGCAATGTGACACTTTGAATCTGAAGTGTTGGGTTTATACTCGTCCTCAAAAATGTCACTGGAGTTCCGATACTTACGTCAAAGTGTTTAACTGTGGACGTTGTGTGAATATTAACTACTCGGACTTATTTTCTATACGCAGAAGCATATGCCCTAAAGGAGGTCGCCAGAGTAATCAATGCCCCTGAACAGAGGAGTGCCAATCTCACTGTACCGGCTCCACCACCGATGAAACCAACCTCTTTTGATTCAAGAAATGTAAAATACCAAGTGGTGAAGAGGCCAGTGACTCCAGTGGATCAACGAGATCATTGGATCGCCTGGAGAACTAAGACACCCTCAACGCCAGGAAAAGTGAAACCACTCTACAACCCACCGTTGGCGAAATACAACAAAACGAGGTACAAGCGATCCCACACACCATCGCCACCGCAGCCTCCAGCAATCAGCGAGGAAGAACCGCCCAGGCCAATGACAGCACCAGGAATAAGAGTGTATACTCCTCAAAACAGACCAATAGCGCCCTCTCCACCCCCGAAAACACCTGTTGTCGTAAGTATAGTGTTCAATTACATTTTAACCTTATTAAATCATTGTAATGGTGGTATGTGCGTCGCTAAATTATTAACCATAAAGCCCCTTTCACAATTGGTGCCAAACAGGCTATAACGGCTTGCGACTCGAAATTGTTCCCGTTGTACGACTCGTTGTAGCCGTTGTACCACTTATTGTACGATCCAGATGCGACAAAATGGTCGCATCTCGGTCGGGAAAAAAACCGTGCTGCTCCGATATTTTGAGCGACTGACGCGATGAAAAATAATTGCACGACAGGCAGTACGAGTGTTGTGCGACTTTGCACGCACTCGTAAGACCCCGAACGAGTGTTGCACGAGTATTTTCATGTCGTACGATGATGCGTCTATTGACTATTGGAATGCCTGTCTTGCCCCCTTTGCAACGTTGTACGATTTTTTTTTCACCCCCAATATAAGCTCGAGAACTCCTGAGCTTTCATTCCAAATACGTACGATTTTATATATTGCTTGCGACTCAAAGACAACACTTCTACAACAGGACGGAAAAAATATTTTCGAAAAAAAAAATTATCGCACGAGTGAGGCGCCAATTATGAAAGGGGCTTAATGCACCACGAGTGCCCAAAACTTAACACCTCTATTAGTACATATGTGCACAAAGTTTTATATTGTCGTTTTATTTTTTGTTTTTGTCTTTGAATGTTTTCATGCATTGTTTGTATTTATTGTATTAGTGTCAGTTAGTGGTATTTATTTACTGTCTATAGGAATCACCAATACCGCCATCACCACCAGCAGAAGACATTTACGATCAATCGACTGTTCCCGTGTGTGATGATGCAGCGAGTGTAGATGTACCATCTGTTCGAAACGTTGCATGTAGTCCGATGGTACGTCTTCAGTATGACACATTATTATATATTTGTCTCGTATTATAAACAGATTCTGTCTTGCTATTGCACGAGTCTTCCCTCTTTATCCAGTTGTCTAACTATTATTCTGATCGTGGTTACCGTTAAATTCACAATCGATAGAGCCATCATTTGTTATTGCGAGACTTACATTGTCTATCAATTAGGTTCATAGGTTGGCATTTATTCGTAAACCGTAATGAAGTAAGCGATCTACCCGGTTCTATGATTTGGGTGCGGCTTTCAACTTGACCATTCTATGGGCTGTAAATCTTCCATACTTGAAATCAATGATAAACTAGGGGTGTACTTTGTGACGCCATTCACCACGACACCGCTGCACAATAACGGGCGATACATGACAGACTCGGCCTGTCGCTCATTGTACCCAAACACATTATTTAACTCGTTGTGGCTTTGTCTTTCATTGTACAGATCTGAGTCGTTGTGATCGCGTCTTTCGTTGTACAAACCACGTTAATCGACGCACCGTTTCTTGTGAACAGGAATATCAATTTATACATTATAATAGTAAAAAGTCATTTCGAAAATCGTTTAGACGCGCTGTTGTAGTTTAGAAAGTCAGAGCAGGTGTTTTTAGTTTTCACACGTAAGAACGAGAGTCTGGTATGTCGCATTCAATTCAATTGTATTGTTAATGAATGGTGTGATTTACGTTGTGATGTGGAATTTTACCGTTGCTGATTTCGTTCTACAATACTTGTATATTGTATGACTGTTAACGCCGCAGGGGTTCAACACGCCATAACTTAACTTGGCGATGAACATTGGGCGAAGCTTGTTTAAAAAAAATATTGGTGCGACGTACATTATAAAACTGTACTGTACAACAAATACGATTGATGACAATCGCTTATGTTGCTGGTTCGCCAGTGTCTTGAATCAGCCGCACCCACACTACACTGACAAACTCGGTACTCAGTTCTGATCAATTTCGTCACGTGTGATCGCAACATAATTTCTATATTCATAAAACCTATAATATATGCGCTGTTACGTGTTAACCCCAAATCAAATAGTTATGGACCGGTGACGTCACCCAAGCTAAAACGCAAACGTTCATGAACAACATTATTTCTAGTTTAGCGTTAAATAAATCAATAATTCAATGAAAAGTCCGTTGAAATTTCCTGTTGGCAACTTCCGGTGTAAATCATGCAAACGGAAACTCTGCAACATGTTACTTCTTAATGACATCCGCCATATTGTCTAGATTACCTGAGTCGTGAACTGGGAATGTGGCATATGTAGCACCAACTAGGATGGCGTGATTGCCATGGCAACGAGTTGTTAAGAGGGTAAAGTAAAATTCTGACGCTCGTTGTAAAGCGTCCGAGGAACTTGAAGGGTTCACCATGCCCCTTTCCGTGATAAATTTACCTGACAACTATTACTTCAATCCAATGCGATGGACGTGGCTTAGTAATGGAGTGAATGCGACTGACAAGTTATCGCGTTATGCTGGAACGTATTCGACTGACAAGTTGCCACGACATGTTGGGCCGAGTTCGACAAACATGTTGCCGCAACATGCAGAACCGATCACATTAGCGGTTCATGTAAGCATGGAACATACTTTTACTAGTGTTACGAACACTACGTTGTAGTAATTAAGTTGGTATCAGTAAAATAAAATAATGGGTAGTAAAGCAGACTAGTTGAGAGTTCTTAAATATACATAATGTATTTTATGATAGTATTCATGTTCACAATGATGAAATAACAACGTTTTTTTTTCTACAGAGACCAGACACCACGATGTCTGTCTCCAGTGAAGCTGCAAGGGAAATGATGCTTCATCCACGTCTCAAACCCTGGGTAAACAGCGCCAATGACTATGGTAATACCAATAAGTATTCTTTACACCGTGATGCGAGTATATGTACATAATTCAGTATTGGATGAACCAAAATGTTATCGGACGCCACATGCAAAAATGTTAAACAGAAAGTAAACTAACAAGAGTATAAGTACACAAGCAGGCATGCTACCAATACGCTTGACGTTTGACAATAAAACTTCCTATTACTACATTTACTTTCCAGAGAAACAAGTTGCTTATAATTTGTTCAAGTCCTTAAATGGTGGAAAATCGGCGTCCATGGCGCGCTCAATAAGTGCAAATGGATACCAATCACCTGTACCAGCTTACGAGAGGATGGTGAAATCCGCAAGACCACAGAGAGGAGTTCCTACGTCAACTCAGTATGGCTACGACCAATCTGAGCTTCACCCACATCGTGCTGGTATGGAAGATGAAGTAGTCCGAGAGTGGATGCAAGAAATTGAAAAGAAAATCAACGAGTGAGTAAAATAAATAATCGTAAGAAATTAATTGTAAGGAGTTAATATCAGGCCAAGAAAAATGTGACCGAGAAATGTGTTAAGAACTTTATGTTTGCATTCAGTACACCTATCAGGAAGCCCAACACATATGCGTGCATATATTATCCTACTAACACCAGTTTTTATTGGGTTATTTCACAGGCGTGCAAAGACTCCACAGCCCGAGTTTCATGCTAGACCTTTATATCAGCTCCCAGTACATCGTCAGCAACGTCCTTGTTCCCGACAGCGATTGAAAAAGCCACCTGCGAAAGAATACACCCACGAGAACAGCTTCTTTGCTAACGCGAGTCCAACTGGACGTGGCCACTTCATAATCGCTCCTGACTGGGTTTCCGAAGGTTTAACAATAAGAAAATTGAACGCACAGGCATTGGCAAACAGAAAACGCCATCCTCCACCTGGTTGCTATGCTGCACGAGCCTAACACTGATTGGATATAAGATTATGGAACGTTGCACCGACTGAATAACTCTTGACCAATTCGAAGATAGCGATTTGTCACGTGGAGGATTATAAACCAATATACGATAACCTTATGAATGTATTTACATATTGTTCGGACAAGTATCCAGTAGATCCACGTTCGAGTGTGCTTAATTTTAAATAAAGTTAATCTTTTTGGTAATTTAAAATGCAAAAAAGTCCTTAACAAAAATAGTCTTTTAAACACTATGCAATCACATGTAAAACACTTTTCATGATTTTTCTGTGCAAGGTAGTTCAAGTTTTTATTAAATATCAGCTTTAAATAGTTTAGTGTTTTAAAAATAACACGGTACATGAAATAGGTTTGAAAGACCGTTCATGCAATTTATCACATGCACAGTGGTTTTAGAGATTTTTGCTTAGAAGTTATTTACATAATGTCACAGTGTATATCAATTGTAATTGAATCTATAACTCTGTAACGTTATAATTGGTTTATCGTAGACGGTTGCAGTTTTAATATGTATTGTAATTTGTTGACTGTTAATTTGTTACACATATCTGATTCTGTTTCAAGAACTGCGTACTATATATTTAATTATAAATAGATTTTTCGTAAGCTCTAAAGTAAAACCGTCCATTTAATACAGACACAATTTAGAATCACTGCCGATCACTTATGAGTATACTGGTTATATAGAGTCGCCCTCTATTTATAGACTATTTATAATATTACTAGTATTCCCATAATTCCACGCAATTATATCCGTCACATGTATACCGGTTGTCACTGGGCGTCATTTATATTACAGTTGAATTCTGTGTCAATATGGTTTGTTTTAATTTCATTTAGTGGCAAAACGAAAATACACCATTTAGATATTATCTGGTCCTCGTAATACTAGTATGTGTACACTAAAGTAAAGTTTGACAAATTAAATAACCCAAAACCCATCAAGATTGTGCGATATGAGAGGGTGTCTGTCAAATCTCGCGAGATGTGTGGACGGAGGAACGCCGAAAGTAATGTTTTGGTATGAATTCGATTTTCAAGTCACGTGCAATCTTATTTCGAGCAAATTGTACATAAATTGTTTGTAAATAAAACAAATCTGGACTTTATGCTATTTTTAAAATATAAAAAGTATTTGTCACACTATGAGTATGCATGTTATACATGTGAACATTTGTTTGTGCTGTTAGCAGTGGAATTATTATTTGGAATTATTTATATGCACTGTGTCATTGAGTGACTGATGCAGAGTAGCCGAGTGTGTCATTTAGTGACTGGTGCAGAGTAGCCGAGTGTGTCATTGAGTGACTGATGCCCGAGTAGCCGAGTGTGTCATTGAGTGACTGATGCCGAGTAGCCGAGTATGTCATTGAGTGACTGATGCCGAGTAGTCAAGTGTGTCACTGAGTGACCGATGCAGAGTAGTCAAGTGTGTCATTGAATGACCGATGCAGAGTAGTCAAGTGTGTCATTGTGTTACTGATGCACGGTAGCCAAGTGTATCATTGAATTACCGATGAACTGTAGCTGGGTGTGCCATTGAGTGACAGATGCACGGTTGTTGAGTGTGTCAGTAGTCGAATGTGTCATTGAGTAACTGTTGAAGAGTAACCAAGTTTATCATTGAGTTACTGATGCACGGTAGCTGAATGTGTCATTGAATTACCGATGAACTGTAGCTGGGTGTGCCATTGAGTGACAGATGCACGGTTGTTGAGTGTGTCAGTAGTCGAATGTGTCATTGAGTAACTGTTGAAGAGTAGCCAAGTTTATCATTGAGTTACTGATGCACGGTAGCTGAATGTGTCATTGAATTACCGATGAACTGTAGCTGGGTGTGCCATTGAGTGACAGATGCAGAATAGCCAAGTGTGTCATTGAGTTACTGATGTACGGTAGCCAAGTGTGTCATTGAGTTACTGATGCACGGTAGCCAAGTGTGTCATTGAGTTACTGATGCACGGTAGCCGAGTGTGTCATTGATTTACTGATGTACGGTAGCCAAGTGTGTCATTGAGTTACTGATGCACGGTAGCCAAGTGTGTCATTGAGTTACTGATGCACGGTAGCCAAGTGTGTCATTGAGTTACTGATGCACGGTAGCCGAGTGTGTCATTGATTTACTGATGTACGGTTGCCAAGTGTGTCATTGAGTTACTGATGCACGGTAGCCAAGTGTGTCATTGAGTTACTGATGCACGGTAGCCAAGTGTGTCATTGAGTTACTGATGCACGGTAGCCAAGTGTGTCATTGAGTTACTGATGCACGGTAGCCAAGTGTGTCATTGAGTTACTGATGCACGGTAGCCAAGTGTGTCATTGAGTGACTGATGCACGATAGCTGAGTGTGTCTTTGAGTGGCGGATGAACTGTAGCTGGGTGGGCCATTGAGTGACAGATGCACGGTTGTCGAGTGTGCTGAGCGTTCCATTTAGTAACTGATGCAGAATATTCGAATGTGTCACTGGGTGACTGATACAGAGTGACCGAGTACGTCATTGAGTGATACAGAATAGCCAAGCGTGCCATTGAACGACTGATAAGAGTAGCCTAGTATGTTATTGAGTAACTAATGTATGGTATCCTAGCGTGTCATTGAGTGACTGATACAGATAGTTAAGTATGTCATTGAGTGAATGTTGTACTCTAGCCTGATGTGTCATTGAGTGACTGATATACAATAGTCGAGTGTCATTGTGTCTGAATTAGTGTGTCATTGAGTGACTTATGTACGTCAATTGTCATGAGTGAATGCAAATGTGTTTTTATGCTGTATTTTCTATACTTTGAGATACTACTGCTAATGTAAATATATCTCTGGATACAACAATTGACTAAACAACGTGAATTCATTTACTACAGACAGATACAGGTGAATTGTTATGTAAAACAGAAAAAGAAGAACCGGCGGAATCCCTAAAAGAGTAGCGTTATATTTGATGTATTTATAAAGATAAAGTCAGAAATTGAATAAAAGTGTGAAATAAATCAGTACAAACAATTAACAGACTGGTCCTAGTGAACTTGAACCCCAGTGCAGACCATACAAAGTGGTATAATAGACAAGAAATGCACTGTGTACTATACGTCTGCATTTAACAAAGACCATAAATTATTTGTTCACCAAATAATTACTCGAATTGGCATGAATGTTCAGCTCAATGTTTTATTAAAATGTATACTGATTTATTATTAAATTATAGTTTTGAATTTAATGTTGGGATCGGTCGCCGTTGTGTGAGGGTGAATAAAGACCGCCCACGGCTGAAGGAATTCACCATATCTTACTGACCCACAGCCGACTCAGGTCGATCGACAGAAATGATAATAACAATGTGTGGAAAATCTCGTAGAGACTAAAGTTAGCAAAACTAGTAATAATATATTAACAACATAGCCAATGTATATAAACAAAATAACGGGACACTTTGAACAAAATGCACTTTTACTAATATGAACAAACGATTAAGAAATAGAGGGCGCTGTGTAACGCGATTGCCCGATACTTGCCCAATACTTGCACGCCAACGAGCAATAAATTGAAATAGTCAATTCTCTGGGAAAAAAAATATTTTATGGGCCTTTTGAAGTATGCTAATTCAGTAATATAAAGGAAAGAGGGGGAAATTAAAAGCTGTTCATAAGCTACCCTCCACCTGAAATAATTGTCCTCCCTTCCTGCTGACCAAATTCATCTTTCCCCTGCCCTACTCTTCTCTCGTTGTGTTGCCTTGCCCTGGGGAGGATGCTGCCCTTTCCCCACTGCCCTAAAATCATTCAATGAACTCTTTAAGCACACTTCTTGAAAGATAATCTCAATTTAGTTTAAACAATATGCAAATTACCCCCAATAGTAATATGTCATGCAGATTACATCAATGTACATGCCTACCAAATTTGATTGAACTCCATTGATTTATTCACGAGATAATCCTAATTTAGTAAATTATCTTCAATAGTATACATAATGTATTGCTAATTGAATGTACATTCAAATTTGATCCTAACCTGTTGAGTTGTCCACGAGATAATCCCAATTTAGTAAAAACCATATGCAAATTATTTAATTTACCCTAAACAGATTTGGCCCAAAAACAAATCAGGTCTGAGAATACTCCAAAGCATGTACTAAATTTCATCGAAATATCGTGAACGGTTCTTGAGATTTCCGTGGAACAGACTCAAACACACATGCAGACAGACACCTTAATCCAAAAATGGATAAAACAACCAATTTTTATTTCATCATACAGTTAAGTTCATCAAAAAAATCTTTGTACATATACCGATTTCAATAAATAATTGCAAATATGAATTTTAAATACCCTCACCAGAACGTAACAAAAAAAACACACATCAAACTAGTGTGCACATTTTAAAACAAAGGTAATGCCAACAAAGTTATTAATGGGCTCAGTCGCTATCTTTAGTACACACTTAATACTATTTAACATTTACCCTATTGTCATTTTTACGACGAAACAAAACTAAAAATGTATGTGAAAATCAGTGCGCTAAGCTCCGTTGACGCTGCAAATGTACGACATCAATGCCAGAGCAAGTCTGAGAATTTGGATACACTCACCCAAATTACTGCCCAATAACGGTTGACCATTCATTATGAACATCCGAAATTGTCCCACAATGACATAGTGCTTTTTACTGAGTTAGTCAGAGTAAGGAGCATGTATCATGCTGCTGAATACGTACGTGGTAACGGCTGATTTCAACAAGACTGCATCTAAGACGTGTGGTGGCGCGTGCTGTTTCATTAAAACAGTCTTTCTGAATTTGGGTCCGTCCCCTAAATTATTTTACAGCGCAGTACATGTTATTGATAGAACACGACTGCCCATATTTAGCAGATGTTATTTCCCCCAATGCGTGTTTTTTTTATTATACCCTGCCCTAAAGGCTGTTTTGCCCACCCTGCCGATATTGTTTTATGTAAGTACCCTACCCACTAAAACGAAGTTTTCCTGTCTGCCCTGCCCACGGGGGGGGGGGGTACTGATATTTCCCGCCCCCTACAAATTGAAAAAATCCCCTGCCCTCAACAAAAATCCCTTGGAAAAGCTTTTCCGACGAACAGCTCCATTGGCTGCACCTGAGATAGTGCTTGACAGGAATGGAGTGATAGGACAGTTTTACGGTTATGTTTAGTGTCATAAGTTGAACAATATAGCATACTTTCTACTATCGGCAGGTCCAGCAAAGCATTGTAGTTATGGTAACGGCACACTGGATATCAAGTAAGGCATATATAAAACAATTGTCTTTAGTATTTATGCAAAAATATGTATTCACAGCAAACTCATGAAATTACTCACACTAATACCTGTCCCGAAGTATCAGTTCTTTGTGGTTATTAGTTGCGTTCACGCACAGCTCCTTAGCACGGGCTAAGAGTTGTCAAATTCCTTAGCCCGTGCTAAGAAAACGTGCGTGAACGCTTAGCACGGGCTAAGAAATGCTAAGTACGGGTTAAATCTCATCCGAATTTAAGACGCGGTCTAGACCCTTAGCACGGGCTAACGAAGTATGCGCGAACGCTTAGCCCAGGGCTAAGCGCCCTCTGCGGCGACCTTTGGGTGTGAAAATTGTCCCATGTTCGTATAACGACTCTATTCCACGAGTCATTACTCCGCGCTCGCTTCCACATTGAAAGGGTCGCTGTAGTAGAGCGTACAGCAGCTCCAATTGTTATATCCTGGCCTTATTATGTATACAGCAATAGGCTAGTCTACAAATATACCCATGATGCATTGTTCTTCTCATCATGGCTGCCTACATGATATAAATACTGTCCAGGTTAGTTAATCACAATCCAGCCATCCTGTCTTCTATATAATATTGGTGAACATATAACATGGTGGCAGCAATAAACTGATATGTTAAGACTCTCAACACTATATTATTAACGATTTGAAGTCAAACAACGGTCAATTTGGAAGCCATAAAGA